AAGATCAAAGACTACGGTCTTAAGTATGGATTACACCTCAACATAAAGAAAACAAAAATCCTCACAACTGGACCTATAAGCAAAATCATGATAAACAGAGAAAATACTGAAGTTGTCAAGGATTTCATTTTACTTGGATCCACAATCAATGCCCATGAAAGCAGCAGCCAAGAAATCAAACGATGTACTGCATTAGGCAAATCTGCTGCAAAAGACCTCTTTAAAGTGTTAAAAACAAAGATGTCACCTTGAGGACTAATGTGCACCTGACCCAAGACATGGTATTTTCAATTACCTCATAAGCATGTAAAAGCTCAACAATGAATAAGGAGGACCAAAGAAGAATTAATGCATTTGAATTTTGGTGTTAGCAAAGAATATTGAATATACTGTGGACTGCCAGAAAAATAAATCTGTCTTGGAAGAAGTACAGCCGGAATGCTCCTTAGAAATGAGGATGGCGAGACTTCGTCTCACGTACTTTGGACATGTTATCAGGAGGGACCAGTCCCTGGAGAAGGACATCATGCCTGGTAAAGCAGACGGTCAGTGAAAAACAGGAAGACCCTCAATAAGATGAACTGACTCAGTGGGTCCAACAATGGGCTCAAATATAGCAATGATTGTGAGGATGGCGCAGACCACGCAGTGTTTCATTCTGTTGAACACAGGGTTGCTATGAGTGGGAGCCGACACAATGGCACCTAACAACAATAATAATGTAGCGTTAGTCTCTCTATGTTAGCAAATATGGGACACGCATCCAAAAAGAAACGCACACAGGGGACAGGTGTATATTACACAACATTTTGCTTTACTAAAATATCTAAAAGTCTCTATCATCGATTATCTGCTCCTAAGTCTATGTGCAAATTAGAATACTAGATATAGCATATAATGTTCAAAAGACCAGATTATCCAGAATTTCCAGAATACCTAGGTAATTTAATCTTGGACTAAAATTAAATGTTTTATAAAAGGCAGATATGTACCCATACAGCCTAATCAGGAAATCTGTGTAGAATCAGGAAGGTATTCAGTTCAACTGATGCGTGAAGTTACACAGCCAAGGTCAAATAACATTTTCCAACTTCTTTTCATGTGAGGATCTTGCTATGGAAGTGCATATAAGAACTTTTGGATCTGTTCCCAGAGTTTGCATTGTTCTAACCTCAGAATATCTGTCGGCTGGGAAAATACGCTAAATTCTGGCATGCATTCAAGGATGCCTAAAATTTTACTTTGTTTCTACAATGCCATGCAGTGAGATGGCTCATGGCATCATTTTTAATCATGGGGAAAGAAGTACTACTGGACATAAAAATTACATGCTCTAGGCATCAGAACATGTAAATTTCAGATATAATGTGGTGTTTACTGACATACAGAAATTTTTCATAAGAAACATAATTTTCTATCATTATATCAGTAATACTGGTCAATTTAAAAAAGATGAAAGTAACTTTAAAGGAAACACAATTCCAAAAAAGTGGCAAGTCACAATGTGCATTATAGATAGGTTTAAAAAAGAATCTCGTTAAGCATTCTAATAAGATAGTGACAATATATAATATTGTTCCCAATTGTACTCTAAATGCATTAGAATCCAAATAAAATGGCCCACCTAGTGCTCAGATCTTGGTTTCTAAATACGATTCTCCAATAAGAAGAAACAGAGCTCCTTGGAGAAGTGGTTGATTCCAGGGCTGAAGAAGGGAAAATACAAGATGAGCCAGTAGCATCTTGTGGTATCAGAAAGTAATAAGAGGTGCTCAAAGAAGGCTGGGAGCAAGTCGAAAGGGCACAGGAGCCAACCTAAAAGAGCTCCCAATGGCCAAATCTCAAATTATTTGAACAAAATAAATAATAGTAGTTTGGGATTATAACACACAGAATAAAATAAATATCAATCAGCCCATATTAATATAAACAAATGAATTACTTAATAAGGAGAAGAGAGAGCTCTTTCTTACAGAAGAATTCCAAGTAAGAAGAGTAAAGGAACGAGGGAAGAGAAAGTCACCATTAGAATACCATCATAAGTAATTATTACAGGCAAGAGCTACCAACGCGTTGTCGTCGAGTTGATTTCAACTCACAGTGACCCTATAGGACAGAGAAGAACTGCCCCATAGATTTCCAAGGAGTGGCTGGTGGATTTGAACTGCCACCCTTTTGGTTGGCAGCCAAGATGTTAACCACTGTGCAACCAGGGCTTAGTGGGGGAAACTTGGACTAGAAACAGGATATTTGCATAGTCTCAAAGTATCACCAAGATACTTATAAATCACAAAGGGAGTAAGAGTAACTTTACAGTGTAGCAGCATAGTAAACACCACTTTAAGCAAATGATCAAGGTAATATCACCAGTAGTAAAACAACAGACATCATGTAATCCCTGATATGATGCTCTGAGAAGAATCTTATTATGAGAAAACATCAGACAAACTCAAACTGAGAGAGATTCTACAAAATAACTAACCAGGACTCTTCAAAATGTCAAGGTCATGAAAGACAAGGAAAGACAGAGGAACTATCACAGATCAGTGGAGTCTGATGAGATATGATGACTAAATACAATGTAGAATTCTGGATAGGATCATAAAGGAGAAAACGGACATTAGTGAAAAACTGGTGAGATTTTAATAAGGTCTGTAATTTAGTTAATAATATTTTACCAACATTAATTTCTTGGTTTTGATAATTATACTACAGTTATACAAGACCCTAACATTAAAGGTATATGAGAACTCTTTGTACTATTTTTGCAATTCCGCTGTAAGTCTGAAATTATTTCAAAGTAAAAATACATATAAAGAAAACGGCCCATTCTGAGACTAGAAGAAAAATAACAGTAACTAAGTGATGCAATTTTTTGGAAATTAATTTTAATTGTCATACAGATCTATGGCAAATACAGATACTTCTAGATGCTATAAGGAAAATTAAATTCAGTAACTACTAATATAATTTCCTTTCTAATTATTAGATTCAAAGATTTTCACACAGTTTACTTTCCCATAAGTAGACTGAAATAAGCTCCATAAAAATCTCCTCTTCCAAGTTAAGAAATTATTCTTCCAAAACACAAACTTTTTTTACATGATGCTGTTTAGTATTTCAAAGACAGATAAATAAGTTAGCAAGCACTGTTTATGAATAACATAGGCCTTAACTGTACAGAACTATTATAGCAATTATCTATTTGCATTCCTTCACCCCTACTAGACCATGAACTGCAAAGGCAAGGACCATTCATCTATTATCAACTTCACACCCCTAGTCCAGCATAGTTCTTCAAACACAGGCATACTCAATAATTATTAGCTAAGAAATGAATAAAAAGATTTAAGATATTCTCTAGTTGAAAGTAATTATGTATAAACTTATAAATAAAACTGTACTTTTTTCAAATCTCAATACTGACAAGATAGCTTTTTCCTACTCTGGGTTATATTTTGCCCAGAATATGACATAGTCATGTGGTTTATCCTTTATCTTCAATTCAGTTTATAATTTGTGCCATTATGGTGATTTAATTTTTTTAATAATTGGCTTCATCCAAATACATATTTTAGTGTCTTTCAGTTCTTCATGATATACCTACCTCTCACTGCAATAGTCATTAGGGATATGATGCAAATAATCTAAGAACCATGTTCATTAGATACCAAACCAAAACCAAACTTGGTGCCATCGAGTCGATTCTGACTCATAGCAACTCTATACCCTGGTGGCGCAGTGGTTAAGAGCTCGGCTGCTAACCAAAAGGTTGGCATTCGAATCCACCAGCCGCTCCTTGGAAACCTTATGGGGCAGTTCTACTCTGTCCTATAGGGTCGCTAGGAGCGTTCATTAGATAGCTTTGTGGTATTACTTACGCTGTTTAAAATAAATAATAAGAACCCACCCAACAGTGCTGCAAAAAAAGGCCTGGAGATCTGATTCTTTTAAAGATGACACCCCAGAAAACTCTATGGAGTTCAACTCTGTAACACGTGGTTTCTAATTGACTTGAGTCAGAATTGACTTGACAGCATTAGGTTTGGTTTTTATGATTATGGCCAAGTGCTGCATCACTGTTAAGTTTTGGAATATGAATTCCTTAACAAGAAATGCTGCATTTTATTTTTTTGCTATATCTCTAGTGACTGTTACAGTACCTGGTTGATAAAAACACATCATACTTCCAAAAGAATGAGAATATAAAAGTTACACATGCAGAAAGGAAAGCTGTTAAGTCAAATTTAGTATACATTATTAGAGGCAATGCAATCAAATTTCCTATCATATTCATTGAATCGACAATGCAATTTATTATTGTAAAAAGAAAAGACATTCCAGGGTTCCACGCTGTTATTCTGAAAACTGAACATTACATTTTAATAGCTGAAACAGTTTTAAACTAATTTAAAGATCTTTAGTGAAACAACTTTTGAAGCTGTTGTAGCTTAATAAAAAAAATAAGAACAATTTTACCTATATAAATAGCAGTGTGTTACTATGATCAACTTTTGATCAGCTTTATCAATATTTTAGATATTTTGTGTCCTAACACCAGAATAAAAAAAAAAAAAGTAAAAACAAGGGATTTAATACTATTGACACCAATGCACAAATGTTTACACGAGTTCCAAGCACAGGGCCCAAACACTTTTCTTAAATATTTTAAAGGGGATGCAATATACAAATGAACATTCCATCCCTGTGTACTTTTAAATCCAGTTATGTGCTATAGCAACATTTAAGTTTTGCCTTGGGCCAAACGCTGTTAGTTCTCAGTAAATTTGTTTAGGAACAATAATTATTATCATGCTTGCACTGAATTCACTTCTCAAGACAAAAGTCCTAAGTGGAAATTTATTTTATTGGCTAAATGTCCAAAGAAAGTATTAAATAAAACAACAACAACAAAACTCAACTCAGGAAGGAGGAGGAGGAGGAGGAGGAAGAGAATCAGAGGTGCCAAGTGAAGATATAAACCTAACAAATGCCCTTACCTTCACTTCTTTTTTCTGCCTGTTTTGCTGCATTTTCTACTTTTTTTTGTTTTGCTGCTAAGAGTTCCCTCTTTAATTGTCTTGCTTCTTTCCGGAGCTCTTCACTATAAAGTAAAAAGTCATATAAGTATATAATATTGAAAAAGAAAGTTGTTTAGCAGAAACAGAATTGTTAGTTTTCAGGTACACTAAATATCTGAAACAAATAAGGTGAGTAAGGTAAGTCATTTATTTTTTGTTTATGTATATTTGTGCTATGGAAATATACCTAAAGGATATTTTTCTTATTAGCAATACAATATGAATTACTACAAAATATACTTCCTCTCAAGTATTTCAAAAGTAAGAAAATATGTGATAAATGACCCACTTTCCTCCTTCTAATTCACTTGCAAATTTAAAATTCTAGTTTCAGTTTAATAATTCAAGGGAATCCTGAATCAAAACAAAATTCTAATATAAATATTACTCACTAAACCTAGACACACACAAGAAGATGCAGTTTCAAAACTTCTTGAATTCTTTAACTGGCAGTAGTAACTACCATTTATTAAGCATTATTACATGCTAGACAGTGTAAAAACTTATTTTTAAACTCATTTACCCCAGTTTGCATGTAATTTCCTCTTCTGTGAAACATGATACATATAATCATGATAATATAATCATGTGTTAAATTCAAACTGACATGTAAATGTTTGACCTCACTATAAGTCAACTTATTAACTAAATGACTTGTCCCCACAAGTGAGTTTTAAGGCAGAAGGTTCAAATTCATGCCATTGGGGGAAAAAATTAACTACTTATGTCATAAACTCTTAGAGTCACTTGAGAATAGTCAAAACTATGCATGTTGTATCTGTGAATGTCAAGTATCCAGTCTATTTTCACCAAAAGCTAGAGTGGATCAGAGATGACTGTAAGCTCAAGCAAGTACCCCATTCTGGAAATGGTCTCCAAAGACACCCAAGCCAAGAGTCAATGAAATCTTAAATCTAGACAGTTCCATACTGATTCAACCTTCCTCCTGATCCACAAATTTCATACCTTTGCATCACTGTCTTGCATTAGTGTCACCATAAGCTTTGCAATGTGAATGACTCAGTTCTTTTTACCTCTTTTCCACATCAGAAATAAACAGCCACATTTTGCATATGGTTGGTTTCCAAGATCCTGAATTCTGAAACTTCCCTCTCTGATCAAAATCTACTACCTTTTAGCTTTCTCAGTCTTTCATTTCCACTAAACCTGCTATAACTCTCATCATGACAGCCACCTCTGTAACGACAGTTCATGGTGCACCAGCCCCATTCTAACCTTTTTGCCTCTCTATCCATTCTTGGTGCTGTGGTCAACTATCTCACTGATATCTTCATCAGTACCCTTAATTCTCTTGATCGCTTTATCCTTGTGGATACATCATAGTCACCGATGAGAACTTGTTAATAACATATTCTAGGGTACAAACACCCAGAGAATATGGTTCTTTTAGATCTGCAGTGTTGCTTGGGAATTTCTACCTGTAACCAGCTCTCCAGATGATTCTGATATGCACCCAAGTTTGGGACCCACTGCTTTAGAACCTGACGATAGAAATTATCTTCTCTTACTTGCAACTTCAAGCACTCCTACTTCACTTGATCCTTCATTCAATCAACAAACTTGCTCAGATTTCTCTGGACTCTGCCCCAGTTAATTATTATCTTCATAATCCTCCCTGAAAAAATAGTTTACACATATTGTCTACTTCATCAACCTCTAACTTTTTAATCTCTTGTAATACATCCCTCTTACGCTCTACTGAAACTGCTGCTGATATAAGTATCAACCAAATTTATTGGCCTTTCCTTAGACCACCTCTTCCTCTTTGGCCTCGTTATCATTCACTGATGTTAGGTGTCCCTTCCTTACTGAAATTCTCTCCGTATCACACTTATATACCACTTTAGAGTCTCCTTCTCCTGGTCATGCTTTTTCTTCCTATCCTGTAATTCTTGGCATTTTTCTCATCTCCATACTTTGGACATTGGCATTTTTATTTAATCTCAACATCAACTACAATTTCTGTATAAGCTACTTCCAAATTTAGATGTTTTGTCCAGATTTTGTTCATACAATTCTATCTGATACACATTTCCATGAAGATCAGTGATGTCCAAGAGAAATACAATGTAAGACACACATGGAATTTTAAGTTTCCTAACAGTCACATTAAAAAAAAAAAGTAAGCGGAAACAGGTGGAATTAATTATAATCACTTATTTTAACTCAATATATCCAAACTATTATTTCAACATGCAATCAGTATAAAATATTATTGCGATATTTTATTCTTTTTTGTAATAAATTTTCAAAATCCTGTGTGTGTTTTATACCTACAGCATGTTGTAGGTTGAATTGTGTCCCCCAAGAAAAATATGTTCAAATCCTAACCTCTGGTACCTGTAAATGTGACCTTATTTGGAAACAGAGTTTTTGCAGATGTTATCCAGTTAATGTAAGGACATACTGAATAAGGGTGGGCATGGATTCAATGATTGATGTCCTTATAAGAAATTTGGACACAGAGACACAGATACACAAGGAGAACACTATGTGAAGATGGAGGCAGAGATTGGAGTGACGTGTTTGTGAGCCAAGTAATGCCAAGGGTTGCTGGCAACTTCCACAAGCTAAAACAGCCATGGAACAGATTCTCCCCCAGGGCCTTCAGAAGGAAACAGCCCTGATGAAACTCTATTTTGAATTTCTAGCCTTCAGAACTGGGAGAGAATATATTTGTTGTTTTAAGCTACCCAGTTTGTGGTAATTGTTATGGCAGCCCTTAGAAACTAATACACAGCACATCTCAGTTCAGACTAGCCACATTTCAAGGGCTCAAATCTAGATGGACAGTGCAGGCTAGATGTTTCAACATAATTACAAACATTCTATGTCCAAACTTGAAGTCGTCTCTCTCCTGCTCAAATCTATTCCTTTTCCTGAAATCCCTATTTGATCATGGAACCACTATTCTCCTAATGACCAGACTTTAAACTTCCTCTTGGACTACCCAACTCCTCACCCCTTACTGAATCAGTGTCAGAGTCCATAATTTTGAAATCTCTCACATAAAATGGTTCCTATCGACTCTCACCATCAATGACTGGTTTAGGCTCTCATTATGTATTTCTCAGATAAATGCAACTGCTTCCTATATCTTGTAGTCACATGAGCACAATTTAAGAAGTCTCATATTTAGTTAGCATGAGGAAAAAAATGAAACTATCATCCCTGTACAGGCAACAGCAACCACATCTTTGCCCCATCCCCATCTTTTCAATATGCTTGTTCAGTATTCTTTAATTTGGTAAGTAATTCAGGAATTACTTTTTTGAAGACTAAGGTGTTTGAGGTGGAGATTTATATGAAAGTTGGTGGGGAAATGCACAATGGCTGAACAAACTAGTTATGAGAGTAACTTAAATTATGCAAAGACTAAAAGGCAACAAAAGCGTATACTGTTTAAGATACCATTGTAGAGAGAAAAGAACATAGTTATTAAAATGATTAACTTTAGATATGGAAAGTTCTGATTTAAAAGCAAACTCCATCACTTATCACCTGCGTGACCTTTGGACAGTTACTTAACTTCTCTAAGAATTCAGTTGCCTCCACTATAAAATAAGGGAAAGTTATGTAAAATACTGAGCACACAATGCATGTTCAACAAATGGTGTTGTTAGGTGCCGTCGAGTTGGTTCCGACTCACAGCAAACCTATGTACAACAGAACGAAACATCGCCTGGTATTGCAAGATCCTCACAATCGTCGCTATGTTTGAGCTCATCGTTGCTCTCACTGTGTCAATCCATCTCGTTGAATGTCTTCCTCTCTCTCACTGATCCTCTGCTTTACCAAGCACGATGTCCTTCTCCAGGGACTCATCCCTCACGGTAACACATGTTCAAAGTATGTGAGATGAAGTCTCGCCATCCATGCTTCTAAGGAGCATTCTGGCTGTACTTCTTCCAAGACAGATTTGTTTGTTCTTCTGGTAGTTCACGGTATAGTCAATATTCTTAGCTAACACCACAATTCAAAGGCATCAATTCTTCTTTGGTCTTCCTTATTCATTGTCCAGCTTTCGCATGCATACGAGGCAACTGAAAATACCAAGGCTTGGGGTCAGGTGCACCTTAGTCCTGCAAGTGACATCTTTGCTTTTCAACACTTTAAAGAGGTCCTTTGCAACAGATTTGCCCAACACAATATGTTGTTTGATTTCTTGACTGCTGCTTCCATAGGCATTGATTGTGTATCCAAGTAAAATGAAATCCTTGACAACTTTAATCTTTCTCCATCTATCACGATGTTGCTTATTGGTCCAATTGTGAGGATTTCCATTTTTTTTTCTTTTTATGTTGAGGTGTAATCCATACTGAAGGCTGTAGTCTTTGATCTTCATCAGTAAGTCCTTCAAGTCCTCTTCACTTTCAGCAAGCAAGGTTGTGTCATCTGCATATCACAGGTTGTTAATGAATCTTCCCCCAATCCTGATGCCGAATTCTTCTTCATATAGTGCAGCTTCTCCGATTATTTGCTCACCATAAAGATTGAATAAGTATGGTAAAGGATACAACCCTGACCCACACGTTTCCTGATTTTAAACCATGCATTATCCCCTTGTTCTGTTTGAACGAATGCCTCTTGCTGTATGTACAGCTTCCACATGAGCACAATTAAGTGTTCTGGAACTCCCATTCTTTGCAATGTTATCCATAATTTGTTATGATCCACACAGTCGAGTGCCTTTGCGTAGTCAATAAAACACAGGTAAACATCTTTCTGGTATTCTCCGCTTTCAGCCAAGATCCATCTGACATCAGCAATGATATCCCTTGTTTCACATCCTCTTTTGTATTCAGCTTGAATTTCTGGCAATTCTCCGTCAATGTACTGCTGCAACCGTTTTTGATTATCTTCAGCAAAATTTTACTTGCGTGTGATATTAATGTTATTGTTTGATAATTTCCACATCCTATTGGTGAACCTTTTTTGGAATGGGCACATATATGAATCTCTTCCAGTTGGTTGGCCAGGTAGCCATCTTCTAAATTTCTTG